ACCCCTCCCTGCATTCATCCACTCATTCTCTTCTCACACTTTCCAAACTGCCTTTTTCCCCTCTGCCAAAGTATCCCAATGTTGCCTCTCTACCTCCCGCATGTGACTGGCAGTGATCTCTTCCCCTCATTGGCAAAAACAAGACATCTCCCTCTCTCACTGAGGACTGTCCTCAATTCTCTTCCATTTTTGTATCCATGTCCTCATTCTAAAGACTATTGCCAAACCCTGAGAGATTAGTGTCCTAATCTGTGCATGGGAAACCAAGTATACTACTGTGTCACTGTCTCCTGCTCAACTGCTTCCATTGAGAGACAATAATTCAGCAACTAGTGTAAAACTAGTCTTGAGTTTTGAGGTTTGAGAAATGACTTTCACAGTTATGCTGGGTTTCAGTTGAGAAGAAGATATCAGAGTACTGACTAAATGAACCTCATGCTTGTGAAAATCTAAATCCTTCATTATGGAAACATGTGCAACAAGAGAACCTACCACTCAATTCCTTTACTCAATGAAAAACTCCCAGCATAACAAACACAAGGACACCTGAAAACATTCCAAAATTAAGATTTAATTTACGTTAAATCTAGGTTAAATATGAATTAAGCACGAATACAACAGAATATAAATTTAAATTAATCTCACAATTTCAGAAATCAGAAATTCCCTTACAACGGAAGTCTAAGGGCAATATGGGGTGTGTTGCCATCATAGACTTTCACTGTAAGCCTGTAACTGTCACAGCACTGCTATATTATAAATTAGTAATGTTGAAAGTAGTGGTCGACCGATATATCACCAAGGCCGATATATCGGCCTATATTTAGCATTTTTCAAATATCGGCATCAGCCGATAAGATTTTCTGTTTGGCCGATGCGTTCGAGGCGGGACTTTTATTTTGACGGCGCTGACAGTGGCCGTCAGTTCTATCTAATACGGATAGAAGTCTGTCTAATAATCAGATAGAACTGTTAAACAAAGGAATTAAAATGTATACAAAAAATATTATAACGATTGCTTTTATATTATTAATAATAGAAAGGCAAACATTATAATACTTTCTCGTTTGCTGTCAGCATTCAGCAAATACGCATTAACATCATTTAAACAAATCTTTGAATGGCTAATGAACATTTAATTTCACAAACCTTGCAAACTTAGTCGAATCCAGTTGTGAGATCTTGTGAAGTGTGCATGTGACCTGCATGAT